ACATACAATTCCGAAAACTGCCATTCCAAACAATTGCCTTGGCAAACACCAGTAATTACTGGCAGCTAAACAAAGGATAAATGCAAATTTCCTTTTCAAACAGACTTTATAATTATTATTATTACATTAAAATATTACAAACATTCGGGTTCAAACATTTTGATCCAAAAGAATTAATGGTTTATTATAAAAAATAAACTATGCTCTCAATATTTCCACAGTTATATCAATAACTAATTCTGCAACTATGACAATAGTTTAATCAGAGGTAACATTAAGATTTCAAGCATGTAAAGAAACATTTATCATGTTTAATCGGTGTAGATGAATGAGCCTTTACCAGCCCTGCAGCTCTTCACACGTTTGACGGCCATCTCGTCCTCTAAATCTACTGCAGACATTTTACACAGTTTGCGCTTCTTTGGGCTTGAAACTCGGTTTGGATTCTGAGGGCTTTCTGGATCTTCAGAACTCCAAATATATCCCTTTATTCCTATAATGGAGCGTCTTGGAGTTTTGTCCTTCAAAAACCACACAAAAAACACAGTAAGTTTGAGACACTCTTGATGCCCGGAGATCAACCTGCTTGCTGAAGAACTAACGACTCCTTACCATCGGCCACACACCCTGAAGCAGAGTGATTTCTCCTGTCTCCGTTTTACTTTTGCCCAGCTCTGCATAGCTGACGCTTCCCTCGGGAGGAGATCTCTGGGTGATCTTCATGAAGACGTAAGGAGAAGTCATTCTTTTGTGCATTCACTTCATCACAAGCCATGTCTTAAGGCAGGGGTGCCCAACCCTGTTCCTGGAGATCTACCTTCCAGCAGAGTTCAGCTCCAACCCTGATCAAACACAACTGAACCAACTAATTAGGATCTGAAGTAACACTTGATAATTACAGACAGGTGTATTTGATCAGGGTTGGAACTGAAGTCTGCAGGAAGGTAGATCTCCAGGAACAGGGTTGGGCACCCCTGCCTTAAGGCATCTCATAAACCTTATGTCTAGAATTCGGAAAAATCTTATGACTAGTTAAAGGGAGCGTTCACCCAAACAACTGTCATCATTTACTCTCATTATTTACTCAGCCAGTCGATGGACCCCTTTGACTTCAATGTTTTGTTTTGATTTTCTATACTATGGAAGTCAATGGGGTCCATCAACTGTTTGGTTACCGAATTTCTTCAAAATATCTTCTGTTGTGTTCAGCAGAAAGAAAGAAATTCATACAGGTCTGGAACAACTTGAGACAGAATAAATAATAACAGAATTTACATTTTTGGGTGAACTATCCTTTTAAGTTAGAAATGACCTTGTGGCCACTGAAGAACAAAGAACAGATCATTTCCCTGAAGTCATAAGCAAAGCGTGCCTCACATCATGACTCTCTCCGCTGCTGAGAAGTGTGCTGGACGGATTGGAGGAATGGTTCAGCGCTAGACGTTTCCTTGTTATTCGTGGAGTGCTGCTGATTAAGCTGGATCTCACCTACAAAGAATAAGAAGTTTGTGACGGACAAGAAAGTTAAAATTATTCAAAACAAGGCATACTGTACATATGCCAGATATTTGTGAGAGAAGTTTGAGGACATAATGTTATGTTTAAATACCTGTCCACGGATGCTGAGCATGACTTTAGCGTAAACGCCTCTCCTGCCTCTCTGTGTGGCTTCAGCGAGAAGCTCAGGAGTCCAAACTCCTTGCCAAATCAGACACCTTCACAGAAAGAGTTTCCCAGACAGAGCCTAAATTAGGGCTGCACGATAAATCAAAATGGAATCGAGATCGCGATTCGACAAACTGCGATTGTCATGCGTATCTTTCAGTGAAGCACGGTTCTGTGATCAGCAGTAAATCTCCATCCGAAGGCCAGAGGGCGCTCTCTTATCGCGAACGATTTCTTCGATTTCAGAATCGCGCAATAAAACAGTCTGCGATTTTTTTGCGTAACTTGTCAGTGAACTACGGCTATGTGTAGTAAATGCTGCTCCATCTGAAAGCACGTGATGATGATTTCCTGCTGATTACAGAATCGGCTTTTTTAACAAAATGCGCATGACAATCACATTCGATTAATCGTGCAGCCCTAGGCCTTAAATTTAATCTAGGGAACATCTGAGTCTCATTTATTGAATTCATTTTATAAATATGGGTTTGACTTACTGGTGATTTGTTTGTTAATTAAGACAACTATACATATACTTGGCTTTCTGGAACTGTTTAAGTGCTATTTGATACAGCTGCAAATTGCTATCTATTGTATTTAAAGTCATAGTGTTAGTGTCTTTATTTAAATGTTCATCAGGATCAGTGTATTATTTATGCGCTGTTATAGTACTCTTTTATATTGGCTTTTATTTTTATATTTAGTTTTCATTTAAATTTCAGTTTACATTTTAATCAATTCAAGTCAATTTTATTAGTTTGTTTTTTTATATATTTCTATATAGCTTTAATTCATTTTTATTTCAGTTTTAGGACTAAAAGTTATTTTTGTTAGTTGTCAAGGCATTTCCAGTTTTCATTTTAAGTACTAGTTTTTCCATTTAATATTTATATTATTTAAGTAATTTTATTTTAATTACAACTGTAATAATTTTAGTTAACTGCCAATCTGGATGAATTCAGACCAAATGATTTACTGCAGGGCAGTGTTGTAATCATAAGATTCAGTGCACTTGCCTGGAGTGAGGTGAGAGAGTCCCGATGACCTGTGACTTGACCTCTGGACCCAGCAGAACCTCCACAGAGATCTCCGAATCACTGGAGAAGCATGACCATTCCCCTAAACCAAACACTATCAGCTGCTTCGGTAAAGGTAACGGCATCTGAACCTGGTACGTTGTACGGTTGACATTTCTACATGAGGTAAATCAGAGGAACCAAAAAACATTGTCACACAGGGAAGTGGTCACAAGGGCAAGATCGACAACTATATTATTCGATTGTGTAAATGCTTGTTTACTCAAAAACCATGTTAAGAACTGTTGCACATTTTATGACAATGCAGTAAACACATGGCCACCATCGACTACACTGGCATACATTTAAAAAAGGGTATATAATATTAAGGTAGAATTTACTCTGAAAGGTTGTACTTTGACTTTGATCAAGAGTATTTCTCAAAAATATAAGGTTAGGACAAGCTGTATTATATATTTTAAATAATTCATGAGTTACAATTTCAGTTAGTCATTTTTTACAGTCTGTGGTCACATCAGTCGTTTGATAGGTTTGTTTCTTGCATTTTAAATTTTTGCTGCAACTTTCTAATTTTTTTGTAATTTAGCAGAAAATGTCCTTAGTCTTAGTGTGATAACCTTTTTTATATACATTAGATAGGATTTCAAATAAAAGCACAAACACACACACACACACACACACACAAAAACTGACAAACAAAAATACATACATATAAAACAAACAAACAAAAGCACATAAATCCGTGTATTATTCGATCATTCGTTTTTTGATTTAATATTGAAAGTAGAAAAATGAGAAAACGGCTCCTTTTTGTTTTTTTTTGTTTTTTTTCCCCCAATGGAAGTTGTAATTCTCATTATTCTGAGGAAAAAACATTAGACAACTAAACAAAATCACATGTAATTTATGAATTAATGATTAAAT